CGTAAAGACTCCAATAGTCACATGCTTGGCCTGGGCATTTACATTCGTAAGAATTCATCCATTTGTCTGGAACTTATGTCATTCTGTTGAAATTAGATCACAAGTTTCTACAAACAATGAATGGTGATTTGTGAATAAGGCCTTTATATAAAACGTTTACAGCAAACATTTAACGAAATTAAATACATTTTTTATTTTTATAAGTTTATTAATAATATTAAATTGTGTAATAAATACAAATTAATTATGAAAAACGTTGTTAATTTAATTTTGTAAAAGCATTTGCTAAAAATCAAGGCGTACTTAATTAAAAGGCCTTCTCATCACGCAATGGCTTGAAAAATGTGGAGGCTGAGTTAGTTAGCGGCAAAAGTTACTACGAATAACTTGTATCCTTACCAAAAGACTTAAAAATGCCCAGAAAATGTTGTGTTACTTGAACTATGACTCAGTAAAAGATAAGATGACTACTTTCAGATTACTGAGAGATCCAGTAGAGCGTCTAAAGCAATCCCAAGAGAAAATATACCAGACAAACATGATACTGTAGTTTGTGCAAAACATTTTCCACCAAACTTCCAAGTTATTAAAGTAAAAGGAAGAGAATGACCTCGAGATTCACCTAGTGTGAAACAAAGTCGAACAAATACTTAAGAGTTTAGTACCAACTCCTACACCAGAAAAAAGAACAACAACAAAATCCGAAAGCTTTGTAAGATCAATAAAAGAAGATGAACTTTCAAAATTCGAAGAGCTTTACAAAATTGATTCATTCGAAAATTTTTGTAATTTGTTATCTCTGGAAAAACATAATGATTCAGTTGTTTATTATAATTGTTTAAATAGCTGTTATATTCAATCAAAAGAGCATGAAAACAATACTGGTATTAATAAATTTTGTTTAATAGTATTAAATGACCTATCATATGAAGCCTATCATGCTGGAGTAAGCTGGACTTAAAAATTGTACTCATAACTTCAAATGTTGGTTGCAAGTTCATGAGGCATTTTGATATTTGATTTCCTTTGAAAAGAAAACAGTTTTCAGTTCAGCAATTTGAATGCATGAGTAACATGAACTCAAGTAATATTCATAAGCAAAAAGAATATATAAAATAAAAGATTTAAAGAGATCATTGCATAGTCAGAACCACCTAAGAAAGAAAAAGGAGAAACTGAACACAAGCTAGGGTCACAGAAAAAACAAATCAAGGAGTGAAGGTAAATGATTAAGGTTGTTAAGAAATCAAGTCATAAAGTTAAGTATCTGAGTAAAAGATTAAGAAATACGAGGAGTTATAGGTTTTAGTGTCACCAGGGTCAGTAGCGTTAGAGCCAAGTCATTCAGTATGATGAGTATTTAAGTCACTAATAACAGCAATACTGAAAGAGGAGTAAATAGAAAGGGCATGGTCAATTTGAATTGCATTTAAAAGAGTGCAGTCTTGGGAAGAAGGAGAATGATTAATAACAAATAAAAAGGTGATAAAGTGAAGAGGTGCTAAATGGAAGCACATAAAAGAATGGTCAAATTATTCAAACCTACATTGATATGTATGTCTACTCCAAGCCAAGCATGTAACTATTGGAGTCTTTGCAAATCAAAGGATAGTACCCATTAACACCATTCAACTGATGGAAGGTGCTTCACAAACCTAGAATATTTGTAAAAATTTTATTAAAACATTTAGGTGGTGGTGTCAGACTTAGAATCAGAACAAGATTCTTGCTTAGGGTCCAAACCTGAGTATTTGGACACATTAAACATCCTGGATAAGGACAGTGGTCTTGAGTACCAGCTTCCTCCACACCAAATTATGCCACTTGTTAATTTTAGTCGCCACAATTGATACTGCCTTGGCTAAAAAAAACAACGATACATACAAACAATTATCATGAGCTGCATTTGAAAATCGCTAAGCAATCTGGAACAAGACAGGTTGGTCATTCTTTTGTCGGCAGCAAAAACTTTTGAAGTGAAATGCAAGTTACAGCTCATCTAGCCAAATCAGACAAGGTGGAACTTGACATACATGGCTATGAAGAGAATCTTGAGGATCATTTTTGAAACACAAGCCTTTACAAACAAGCCAACTGTGTAGAGACAAGCTAAGCGCTGTACTACTAAGGATGTGGTGAAGACTGAATTCCAAACTTCTGGCTTATGAAGCAAGCGCTATACAACTACTCCACTTTCGCATTATAAAAGAGATTGTCTCCTTTTTGTTTTTTTGTACTTTGTAATATCAATCATACAAAAGTTCAGTCATTTAATGTTTCTTCAGTTCTCTCCATACAACACAAAAAATCACACAAGAAGCAACACAAGGCATTCAGGATGTTAGCCAGGAATATAATATTGCGATATTATGAACATATATTTTTATTGGCATTGTTCTATTTGGACGACTAAATAAGCGTGAATTTTATGAGTGCAAACTGGCCTAACTGCGAACTGGCACAATCAGGTGGACACTGAAAAATCCGGTCAACTTTAAACTAAGATTTCTCTAAAACCATAAATGCTTTTTATTTCAATTTTTTTTTTATTGAATGTGTTGACATTATTAAGAATTTCAACTTTATTTTAAGGGGCCCGAAAAGCTGTTTGGCAAGAGATCGAATTTTATAGCAGATTGATGCCATCATTTTGACTTTTGTTTTTTTACCTTATTGGTGGCATTATTCATTAGACTTTTGTTTTTTCACTTTATTGGTGGCATTATTCCACTTTTTTTAAAAAGTCCAATTATGTTTTGTTACTTCACCTGTCTAACAAAGAACTCCTAAACTATTGCCCAAAAATCTTCAATCTTGCACTTTTCAGGACGATTTGGAGGATTCTTATCTTTAGAAAAAATTCTCACATTAGTATCTTTTCACCACTGTAGAACCATTTTAAAATAGGGAGAAGCAGCAAGATCTGGTCAAAAGAGATTGATATTTGTTCTTTTTCATAAATAACAAAAATCTTTTTTTAGAGGCATTCTTTGATGTAGAGATCGGCAGTCAAGGTCTTCTTAGTGACAAAACAAGAGGCTGCAAACCAAAACTACAGTTCCTTAAAATTTTCTCTTCAAATAATTAAAATTGTTCATCAACAGGATTATCTTTGTTCTCATTGTAAAATTGTTGACCAAGAAGTTGTGAAAAATCCGTTTTGCAATGTTTCGTTGTCTTAAATTATGCACATACTTTTATCCGCCATTATTTTAACCAACTTTTTTGCATGTTGAATTTCTTTAATTTCACTATTTAAGCTTTTCTTGGGTGTATTTTTCTTATAAAATGCTTTAATTCGAGCATTTTTAAGTACTTTCTTGATATAAGAATGCAAAGTCTTGAAATTTCTCGCTTGATCTTACTATGACTGTTTCGGATTTCATGCTATTGAACTGAGAATGGTTGTTACCTTTTTGGATTTATAGAAAGTTTTCTTTCTTTAACTTCCAGTTTTTCTTTCAAAGCTTTGAGTAGTCTTGAACTTATTTATAATATCTATGACAGTAGATTTTGGGACATTTGTACATTTAGCAATTAAGTGATATTAAGTTAATGGATTTTTGCAAAAAAATTCACAACTTTTTTACGCACCTCAATTTGTTTCCGAAACATTTTGCAAATCATTTACTTGTAAACAAAAGTTTATCAACACAACTAAAGATAAGAAAGTTACGTTTAATTAAAAAAATAAAAGAAGTAAAAACCATTTGTGGTTTTTTTGAATCTCAATTTAAAGTTGACCGGGTTTTTCCTTGTCCACCTGATAGTGCGCTAAAAGATTTTGCAAACATTGGCATACGTGTGAACTGTCATAAGTGCAAACTGGTAAAAGTGCAAAGCAGTTGCAAAAAACTGGCACAAGTGCGAACTGGCATATGTGCAAGTTGGCATAAGTGCTCCAAACAAATTTACAAATATCGGCAGAAGTGCGAACTGGCATTAGTATGAATTGGAATAAGTGCGCCAAATAAATTTACAAACATTTGCATAAGTGTGAATTGGCTCAAGTGCAAATTGGCAGAAGTGCGAAGCAGTTAAAAAAGCTAGCATAAGTGCGAACTGGCATAAATGCAAATTGGCATTAGTGCGCCGAATAAATTTGCGAACATTGGCATAAGTGCAAATTAGCATAAATGCAAAATACTAATTTTCACTTATGCCAATATTTACAATTTTATTCGGCACATTCATGCCAGTTCACACTTATACCGATTTTTGTAACTGCTTCGCATATATGGCAGTTCGCACTTATGCCAATATTTGCAAATTTATTCGGCACACTTATGCCAGTTCACAGTTATGCCAGTTCGCACTTGTGCCAGTTTTTGTAACTGCTTCGCACTTATGGCAGTTTGCACTTATGCCAATGTTTTCAAATTTGTTTGGTGCACTAATGCCAGTTCGCACTTGTGTCAGTTTTTGCAACTGCTTCGTGCTTATCCCAGTTTGAACTTATGCCAATGTTTGCAAATATTTTTGGGGCACTTATGCCAGTTGGCACATATGCCAGTTCGCACTTATGCTAGTTTTTGCAACGCTTCACACTTAAGCCAGTTTGCTCATATGTCAATTCACGCTTATTCAGCCTCCCAGTTCTATTGCTTCAAAAAAAAAAAAGGTGATTTCTGTGGTATAAGCTGTGCCATTGGGCTGACTAACACCCTGGCTTTGCCTTCAATATACTTGTAACCATCCTGCTAGCAAAGTTCATCAGGTTTCACATATCACATGAGGGGGTTATAGTTTTTCCCGATCACCCATGGGCATTCTAAAATATTTCTTATCGCAGATATGCACCTTTCATGACCATACAGGCTGTAGAAAAAAATTCAAGTTTATAAGTTTTTTTTTTTTTTTTTACAAAAAAATTTATTAAAATAAAGTTGAAGGTATTATAAATATAATAAATAGAAAAAAAAGACTTAAAACTTTAATTTTTTTGAAAAACAATAACTTAGTCTATATATGCACTAAAATAATTAAATATTTTTTTGAAGGTTCTGTTACAGATTTATTGGTAATGTCTCCTGGCAAAGTTATTTATAGCAATAGTAATGGTGATGTTTCTATTGTATCTTTAAGTTCTCACGATAACAAAATGAGAGAAGATCAATCATGGAAAAAACTTCATCGGTATCTTTCAACTAATGAAGTTGCCTGTTGTACTTGCCTAGCATCTTATGGTCAAGATATTGTTACCGGTAAGATATTTTTACATATTTTTACACTAGTAAATATTATTTTACATGGTTATTAGATGATTATCTAATTTCTGCAAAATTATTGTTATTTTGAATTCTGGTTTAATGTAGTTTGTTCACTTATGGCACCTGTTACTCCTAGTAAGGGGTTGTCCATAAAGTCACGCTTAGGGGGTAGATGATTTTGTGATGATTTGTTACGAGGTGGAGGGGGTCTCGATTTTGTGGCGCTACGTTTTTTTTTTTTTTAGAGTAGACTTAAGGTGAGTTTCCACTCATCCGTTTTTCTACGGGAAAAGGAAAGGGAACGGAAAAATAATCACGTGAGCATGCGCAGTTTTCTTTCGGACAAATAAAAACTTTTATTACGCATGCTCACGTGATTATTTTTTCCTTTCCTATCCTGTTCCCGTTGAAAAACGGATGAGTAGAAACTCGCCTTTACTTTTAATTAAAAGAGTATCTGACCAAACCAAAACCCTCAGTCAATGTATCTACATGTTGATTGTAAAATCAACTACGCCTAAATCTTACTTAGTCGATGTGCACAGTCTGTTAACAGAGTAGTTACAGCCTGTTAACAGACTGTTATGGCTGTATGTCCAGTGCACGTTCTGCGCTTTCAATTTATATGGCTCAAGTGCAGAACTTTATTTAGTTAGTGCACAAAAGTGTGCAGCAACAAAAAACAATCTTTGTGCACTAACTAAAAAAAAAAAGTCTCGTACCAAGAGACGAACCCGAAACCCTCAGTTTACTAGCCAGAGGCAGAATCCACACGACTACACTTATGTTGCTAATTGTAAGAAAATTGTATTTATAAAATAATATTTTTGCATATATAATAAAATTATTATTTATTATATATTATATGTATAATATTTTGCATGTATTATACATCGGAAGAATAAATTTTTAAAATTGGTATAATGTTTAGAATAGTGATGTTTATTTATACAATTTTACACGGAACTATTGAGGTGAAAAAAAAACATTAATCAGACTGAAAAGTACTAATTAGCTCAAACAAGCTCAGGGAATTACAGATATTATTATATTTAAAATCGTTTTGTATTTTGTAAAATTTTGCACCCCCCTCCTCCCTTCTCCCTCCTACGTAAAAAAAAAAAAAATTTCGGGGGGGGGGTCAAAATTGTTGCGTAATATTGGGGGGGGATCAATAAAGTGTTAAAGGGGTCAAAAAATGTCAAAAACTACGTGACGTAATTTATACTTAAGTCACTAATTAAGCTAATTATCGCTAATTATTTTTTTTGAGGGTTGTATTCAAATAAAAATCGACTTTAAAAAAATCAATATCGTGCGTTTATGTTGAAATAATATTTTATTACTCATTAATTGTTATGATATTAATTTTTATAGTATCAACAATAAAAATGTTAAAATATACAGTCGTGTGCAGTAAAATAGTAGTGCGTATTTTATTTTTCTATCAACAAACTTTGAACATCAAAATATATTTTTCTATTGTTTGTTTTTTATCGTTATTGTTCATAAACTAAATGTTGTGATTATAATAGTATAAAAAAAATTTAAGAAAGATAATTGCAACACTGTATGGTTTTAAATTTCAATATTATCGATTGAAGGTCATTCGTATTTTTTTTTTAGACTGTGCAATAAAATAGTATTGAAAAATTAATTTTTGTGTAATAATTGCTGTACTTATTAAATTCTAGTTATTATTAGTTCTTAATAATAAGCAATAAGGAAGTAATTAATTTTGATATTAGATAAGTTTATACACTTACTATACTATACACTTAATAAAATTTTGAAATTTTAGAGAAACATGGCGTTCTAAGCATTGTACTGAAGAAGTTTGTAATTTAATTATAAATCTTAAAATCATGGTAAAACCTACAAGCAAATACAGGAACTGGTTGGATGCTCACCAACAATGATTTGTAATGCTTTAAAATGGAAACTCAAACCAGAAAAACGTGGAAATAAAAGATCAACTACCGCTATAGAAGATCGTCGAATTGTATCGTTAAAGAAAAAGGACCAATTTATTACTTCTAGAAAAATTAAAGAAAGGCTAGAATTAAATGTTAATACCTCAACTATTCGAAGATAATTAATACATGCCGATTTAAATGCAAGAACACCTAGAAAAGTGCCACTTTTGAGTAAAAGACATCGAAAATTGTTTAAAATTTGCACGTATGCATCCTTCTTGGCCTAAAGAAAAATACTGAAATGTTTTGTGGACTGATGAAAGCAAAGTTTTTGGTTCCTTTGTTCGTAAACAGTATGTTAGAAGACCAACGGGTGCAGCATATAAGCCACAATTTACATTAAAGACCGTCAAACATGGAGGTTCAAAAATAATATGGGGTTGTTTTTCTTACTATGGTGTTGGGCCTATACATAGCATAGAAGGTATCATGGATCGGTTTGTATATGTAAAAATACTTGAAAAAATTATGCTGCCTTATGCTAAAGAAGAAATGCCGTTAAAATTTTTGTTCCAGCAGGATAATGATCTCAAACATACGAGCAAGTTAGCCAAATCGTGGTTTAATGAGAACAAAATCGATGTGATGGAGTGGCCAGCACAATCCTCCGACCTCAATCCGATTGAAAACTTGTGGATTGATGTTAAACAAGCAGTTTCTGAAAATAATCCATGAGGTTGTAATCAATTGTGGGACGTAGTACAGCATGGCAAAATATATCTTTCGAACAATGTCAGAATCTTGTAAACTCCATGCAACGAAGATGCTTGACGGTTAAAAAAAGGTCATGCCACAAAATACTAATGTAGAGCTTCAAAAAATAATTTTTTTATGTCATAAAATTTAATTATTTTTTGACCTTTTCATAAAAAATGATTTTCACTACTATTTTATTGCACTGTCTAAAAAAATACGAATGACCTTCAATCGATAATATTAAAATTTAAAACTATACAGTGCTGCAATTATCTTTCTTAAATTTTTTTATACTATTATAATCACAACATTTAGTTAATGAACAATAACGATAAAAAACAAACAAAAGAAAAATATATTTTGATGTTCAAAGTTTGTTGATAGAAAAATAAAATACGCAGTACTATTTTACTGCACACGACTGTAACTTAAAGCTTAAGTAGAAAAATTTTTACTTGTTTTTATTTATATTTGTTAGGTGGAGAAGATGGCAAAATTAATTTTCTTCTACCTGAACGCAAAAAGCCAATCAGAGTGTTAGAAAATGCAGATAGTTCAAATGTCACAGGACTGCAGTTTTTAAGTTCAACAGAACTAGTTTCTATTAATTCAACAGGGCAGTTAAAACTCTGGGATATTCGTCAACAAAAGCTAAATAAACCCGAAAAAGTTTTAACATTGTCAGGAAATGCTTGTCCTTTACTTTCTGTTGATAAACATCCGAATCAGCCACATATTGTTGTTACAGGACACGGCGATGGTGTAGTAGGAATATGGGATATTCGCCAGGAAAATGGGCCCGTAACTTTGGTTGATGCTCACGAAGCTGAAGTTTGGACTGTTATGTTTCATTCAATGTATCCTGATAATTTATTCACGTGTTCTCAAGATGGTTCCTGTTGGTTTTGGGATGGGGCTTCGATGAATAATGAAATAATTTACAGTAACTTAAATAATAATAACAGCCATAGTCACAGTGCATGGCTTTACATAGATGCAAATAAACATAAAATGGAGACATTTTCATTAGTTCCGTTTAATAAAAGTCCTATTAATTCTTTTGACGTTTGCTTATCAAGTTTAGTTTGTGCAACAGACAGTGAAGCTTTAATCATTGTTTCCGACATACCCGTGCGTTAACAAGTCATTTTAAATTGTTTAAGATACCTGATTGACATTTCAAATTGAAATTTTGCTACAAGTTTTAACTAATAATACATAATATTAAAAAGTTCCTTTTTAAAATATACGTTTTTTCTTAATCCCTTTAATTATGTAACATAATAATAGGCTGTAAAATTAAACGCGTAGTAACTAGCTGTACCAGTTTTTACTCATTAGAAAAATCTTATTTAAATAGAAAGACGTCCTGAACGATATATATACGTTTTAGAATTATAGTAATATTTAACTATATATTTTGGAAAAAAAAAATTTTACTTGTGTTATATTTCGTGCCTTAATTATAAAAATAATAGTCCAAATTAATGTGATTTTAAAATTTTGTCCAACGACAAATTATTTAATTAAAGTTCTCAGAAATATCGGAGATTTTTTTTTTTTTTTTTTTTTTTTTATGTTAAGTATAATAATTATAAAATAATTTTAGTTTTTAAAAAAGTGTTCTATCGTTTTCTTGAGATCTAAGGGAGAGTAAGGCAACATGATACACATGGTTTTTGTTTCGTGAAAATTTTTTTAATACACCTTTTAATTTGCAGATTAAATTTAGATCAAGGTACCTCACCCATGGGGTACCTTGATACAATCTATGAACATCATTAAAATAAGTATAAAACTTAAAAAGCAGATTTTTGCTTGAAAGACAAACAAATTAAAAATTATAACTCAAATAATGCATCCAATGGTCCAAATCACATTTAAAAAATCCACATAATATAGTTTTAAATGTCATTCTTAAGCGACAATAAATAATAGCTTTTTATCGAAATTGGATCTCCTAGTATTATATTTATATAAATTTCTTAAAAACTGACTGTAAATGTTAATAGAAATGATTTTTAGATTTGTTTATGACACAACGGAGTACTGTTTTATAGTTTTCCATTGTGTCATAACTCACAATAGAAAACAATCGCTTTATTATAGTATCAACTTGTTTTTTCAATAGCTTTGTTTAATAAAGTGAAGAGCTTAAGGATAGTAGTTTACAAAACAATGTTACTAACCGGTAGATATATTGAATAACATGCCTTAAACTTAATAACTTTAAAAACTAATAAACTATTTTGTAAGTTTTTAAAAAACACAAAATTTGACCCCTTGCAGGTCTAATGATATTAAATGATATAATTTTTTGTTAAAACATAGCTCTTGTATTAACTGTTGCACTGCCGGTTAACGCGCTTGCACCAGAAGCTCTGTGGTTCAGCGCCACCTCTAGTCAAGTTTTATAAAACCTTTTGTGGCCATAAATAATCAATAGAAATAACTATAAACCTACCAATCAAATAGTTGTAGAACATCCTGCTAGCAAGTAGTTATAAGCTGCTAAAAGATTGCATGTCGCAATATTGATTAAATTCAAAGCAGCTTAGGTTATTCCATCATCAAAGTAGAACGTATTATTGTTGTTCCTTCTTCTTAAATATTTAATAATATGAATTGTATTTATCAAACATGTTTTGAAATATTTTTAGTAAAGTATTCTTATAAATAACTCGTTCTTAAATTTGAGAAACAGCAAATTTTATTATTTTTAATTAAACTTTTAAAAACACGCCCATTTACTGTGAATGATTTCACTTGAAGATTATTTGACCCATGCAAGTCTTCATGTTTAATAGCGCAAAATACGGAAAAAAAACAGGTGAGAGTAAACGTTGTGGGTTTTGCAAATATGTGACAAAATCTAATTGCAAATTAATCACTTACAGTAATCACGAATAACTTACAGTTATCACGATTTTTATAATAATATTTATCTTATTTATGAAATGAAAAAAAAAACAATGAAAGCTTTAAGATTAACAATGAAAGCTTGTAAAACTAATGCACATTCTTACACAATTTACAGGTTTTTGTTGATAGCTATTCAAATACATAGTGAAGTTTAGTGATCAGTGGTTAAATTTGACAATAGAACGTTCGATTTGATGATCTGAATTTTCTAAGGTAAGTTTAAGTGAATTGAGGCACATAATATCAAGATTTTTTGGAGTAAAGCATATTAGTTAAGGGCTGTCTTTTTACATTGGCTAGCTGCTGAGTGTCAATGTGGAGGGTTGTGTTTAGATTGACGCCAAAATAATTTAATGAGTTTAAGACTTCAAGAATTTAGATTTTTGAATATAAATTGATGCCATGACAATATATAAATTTTGCAATTGATTATTTTAAGATTTTATTGATTTTAGGGTATGAGTACACCTATAGTGTTTGCTAAAAACCTTTGAATGAACACTATTTTTGACGCAATCGTTTTAGATGACATTAGGACTTTTACCTTTTCATTGTTAACTTGATTAGTTCATTGTTAACTTGATTAATTCATTGTTAACTTGATTAGTTCATTGTTAACTTGACTAGTTCATTGTTAACTTGACTAGTTCATTGTTAACTTGATTAGTTGATTGTTAACTTGATTAGTTGATTGTTAACTTGATTAGTTCATTGTTAACTTGACTAGTTTATTGTTAACTTGATTAGTTCATTGTTAACTTGATTAGTTCATTGTTAACTTGATTAGTTCATTGTTAACTTGACTAGTTCATTGTTAACTTGATAAGTTTATTGTTAATTTGATTAGTTCATTGTTAACTTGACTAGTTCAAGGAAAACTGCATTAAGTATAAGTTAGTTTTTCTTAACGTATTCATACTTATTTCTGTAAAAAGATGTTTTTAGGATGGCAATGAGTTAAACAATAATATTGACCTCGTCATTACGTTAGCGTTGTTTCATATAGACTATTGACATTCGACTTGGTTATCCCAGACTTCAAGTTCTATGCAGAGGGTAATGCAAATTTTTTGCTTCAGTTAGAACATAAGAATAAACCAAGAGTTAAAATTTGCAGTTTTATTACAAACAAGATGTTATGCAACTCGTTTTGAAAAAAAACTGAAAAAAAAGTGCTTTGAGAGGAAAATGAAAAAAAGTGTTTTACTGACTATAATGTCAAGCCATAACTATGTTAATAGTTGTTAACAAGGTGTCAAGCAATACTTTTTGAATAAAACTGTAAAAAATGTGCTCATTTGAAGGGTAAATGACGAAAAGTGTTTTACTATGTTAATAAAAATGTTTTATTAACTGTGTTAATATAAAAACAAACGTTTATAAAAATGTTTTATTAACTGTGTTAATATAAAAACAAACGTTAAAACAATTTTTTATACAACTTCCTTTTTTGTTTTTTTTTTAATGTTTTTTTTTAACACAAATAAATCAATTTCTATTTTTATATATTCTATTTTTTATAATTTCTATTTTTTTATTTACATAATAGAATATTTATATATATAATTTATATTTATATATATAATAGAATATTATATAGAATATCTAAATATCTTGTAATATCTTTAAACATTTTAACCAAAATAATATACTCATATAAAAGTAAGTTGTGTATTCATTATCATCGTCAGAAAATACGCAATACGATTAGTTTGTTATTTAAAAATATTGAAGTGAATGTATATAAAATATTATGCTTTAAGTACCAATGTAAAATCAATCCGTCATTACACATTTTTAAAGATTTTTTATAAAAATAAAAAATAAGTATAGACTATGAATTGATAACTTACTCTATGAACCCTTTTGTTCAAATAATATTTCAAATAATATCAGTTCTGTATAGCTTATCGTGCATCTAATTTCTGGAACAAAATCGTTTTGCCTAATTTTGATAATATTTTGAAAAACTTTTAAAAATAAGAAAATTTATATAAACACGCTTTTTTGTTTTTGAATTTTATTTATATAGGCAGTTTTATTTATATACATACACTGCGCGACATAATGATAAGACATCCAAAAAATATTTATAAAATTCTACTACACATTTAAATTTGAAAGATAATTTTTATTGTAAATAAAGCAAAATGTTTACAATACTAAACATCATTTTAACAAATTTATTTTAAACGTAACCCGGTGAGAAATCGGCTAGCGAATAGCTAGCTATAATCGTAACGATAAAGACAGCGATTTGGCCACGAGGATCACTAGCTTTTTTAAGTAAGCGAAAAGCTATCGATATTTGTACAGATAAAGACAGCTATTTGGCTCTGAGGACAGCTAGCTTAATAAGATAAAGACCCACTGGCTCTTGTAGCTAGTATCATATCGTAATAAAATCGTTGTCTGAAAAATTTTGATATGTGGCTATCAACCAGCTATAGATCTGTAGATATTTTGTAGCCAGCTACAAAGCTACGATATTTAGCTAGTGACACATTGCTACAAAATCGCAATGTTTAAAGTTCAATTTTCCTCATAATTATAATAGACTCAACAGTAAAAACCGAATTTTTTAAGATGTTAAAGATATTAGCAAAAAATGAATTAGGAAAAAAAATCGCTTTAAAATCACAATAGAGCTAGCTAGTCGCTAGCTTATTTCCCACCGGAAACTCACATTTTTATTGAAAAAAAAGCGTTTTTCAGTGCGACAAAATTATAAGAAAAAAAAATTTTATTTACAAACTTATAAAGGAATATTTCAACAGCAGTAAAATTAAAACATTGAAGTGGCCAGCTAGATCTCCAGACCTAAACATTATTTAGAATGCTTGGGCACAGCATATAGTGTTTAAAGGTGGTAAACAATATAGTTCACTAGCTGATTTGAAATCATCCATCGCATCTGCATGGGATGCAATTGACATTTAGTACATAAAAAAGTTGTATGATTCTTTACCTTCTAGAATGATTGAAGTAACTCAAAAAAATGGTAAAAGTACCGACTATTGTTTATTTAAAATTGAGACGTCTTTTTATATAAATGACTATTTATATGAGTTTTTTTCCAAAAGTGTCATATTTTTGTCGCACTAAAAAAACAGTTTTTTTTTATAAAATGCAAGTTAGGTTTAAAATGAATTTTTAAAATGTTGTTTAGTCTTGTAATCCTTTTGCTCTCATTTACTATAAAAATTAGTTTTTAAATATAAATGTATAGTAGAGTTTTATAAATATTTTTTTGGTATCTTATCATTATATCGCGCAGTGAATATATTAATGGCTTAAGTTATCTTTTATTATAACGTTATATG